GACAAGAGGTCAAGACAACTGATTCCTGCAGACCCTGTATTAGAACAGTACATTTTACATTACATTTTAGTCATTTAGCAGACGCTCTTATCCAGAGCGACTTACAGGAGCAATTAGAGTTAAGTGCCTTGCTCAAGGGCACATCGACAGATTTTTCACCTAGTCGGCTCGGGGATTAGAACCAGCGACCTTTCAGTTACTGGCACTACGCTCTTAACCACTAAGCTACCTGCCGCCCCAGTAGACCCTGTAGTAGAACAGTAGACCCTGTAGTAGAACAGTAGACCCTGTAGTAGAACAGTAGACCCTGTAGTAGAATAGTAGACCCTGTAGTAGAACCGTAGACCCTGTAGTAGAACATTAGACCCTGTCGTAGAACAGTAGACCCTGTAGTAGAATAGTAGACCTGTAGTAGAACAGTAGACCCTGTAGTAAGAACAATAGAACCCTGTAGTAGAACAGAACAGTAGACCCTGTAGTAGAAACAGTAGACCCTGTATAGAACAGTAGACCCTGTAGTAGAACAGTAGACCCTGTAGTAGAACAGTAGATCCTGTAGTAGAACAGTAGATCCTGTAGTAGAACAGTAGACCCTGTAGTAAACAGTAGACCCTGTAGTAGAACAGTAGACCTGTAGTAGAACAGTAGACCCTGTAGTAGAACGTAGACCCTGTAGTAGAACAGTAGACCCTGTAGAAGAACAGTAGGACCCTGTAGTAGAACAGTAGACCTGTAGTGAAACAGTAACCCTGTAGTAGAACAGTAGACCCTGTAGTAGAACAGACGTAGACCCTGTAGTAGAACAGTAGACCCTGTAGTAGAAACAGTAGACCCTGTAGTAGAACAGTAGACCCTGTAGTAGAACAGTAGACCCTAGTAGTAACGAACAGTAGACCTGTAGTAGAACAAGAACAGTAGTAACGACCTGTAGTAGAACAGTAGACCCTGTAGTAGAACAGTAGACCCTGTAGTAGAACAGTAACAGTAATCCGTAGTAGACAACAGTAGACCTGTAGTAGAAACAGTAGATCCTGTAGTAGAACAGTAGATCCCTGTAGTAGAACAGTAGACCATGTAGTAGAACAGTAGACCCTGTAGTAGAACAGTAGACCCTGTAGTAGAACAGTAGACCCTGTAGTAAGAACAGTAGACCCTGTAGTAGAACAGTAGACCCTGTAGTAGAACAGAACTGTAGTAAACGTAGACCTGTAGTAGAACAGTAGATCCTGTAGTAGAACAGAACAGTATCCTGTAGTAGAACAGTAGACCCTGTAGTAGAACAGTAGACCCTGTAGTAGAACAGTAGACCCTGTAGTAGAACAGTAGACCCTGTAGTAGAACAGTAGACCCTGTAGTAGAACAGTAGACCCTGTAGTAGAACAGAACAGTAGACCCTGTAGTAGAACAGAACAGTAGACCCTGTAGTAGAACAGTAGATCCTGTAGTAGAACAGTAGACCCTGTAGTAGAACAGTAGACCCTGTAGTAGAACAGAAACAGTAGACCCTGTAGTAGAACAGTAGATCCTGTAGTAGAACAGTAGACCCGTGTAACTAGATGTAGTAGAACAGTAGATCCTGTAGTAGAAACATAGACCCTGTAGTAGACAGTAGACCCTGTAGTAGAACAGTATACCCTGTAGTAGAACAGTAGACCCTGTAGTAGAACAGACATAGACCTGTAGTAGACAGTAGACCCTGTAGTAGAACAGTAGAACCCTGTAGTAGAACAACAGTTAGACCCCTGTAGTAGAACAGTAGACCCTGTAGTAGAACAGTAGACCCTGTAGTAGAACAGTAGATCCTGTAGTAGAACAGTAGACCCTGTAGTAGAACAGTAGATCCTGTAGTAGAACAGTAGACCCTGTAGTAAGAAACAGTAGACCCTGTAGTAGAACAGTAGACCCTGTAGTAGAACCGGTAGACCCCTGTAGTAGAACAGAACAGTAGACCACTGTAGTAGAAAACAGTAGACCCTGTAGTAGAACAGTAGATCCTGTAGTAGAAACAGTAGACCCGTTAGTAACAGAACAGTAGACCCTGTAGTAGAACAGTAGACCTGTAGTAGAAACAGTAGACCCTGTAGAGAACAGTAGACCTGTAGTAGAACAGTAGACCCTGTATAGCTAGAACAGTAGACCCTGTAGTAGACAAACAGTAGACCCTGTAGTAGAACAGAGACCCTGTAGTAGAACAGTAGACCCTTAGTAGAACAGTAGATCCTGTAGTAGAACAGACAGTAGACCCTGTAGTAGAACAGTAGACCCTGTAGTAGAACAGTAGACCCTATAGTAGAACAGTAGACCCTGTAGTAGAACAGTAGACCCTGTAGTAGAACAGTAGACCCTGTAGTAGAACAGAACAGTAGACCCTGTAGTTAGAACGAACGTAGACCCTGTAGTAGAACAGTAGACCTGTAAGTAGAACAGTAGACCCTGTAGTAGAACAGTAGACCCTTGTAGTAGAACAGTAGACCCTGTAGTAGAACAGTAGACCTGTAGTAGAACAGTAGACCCTGTGTAGAACAGTAGAACCCTGTAGTAGAAACAGTAGACCCTGTAGTAGAACAGTAGACCCTGTAGTAGAACAGTAGATCCTGTAGTAGAACAGAACAGACAGTAGACCTGTAGTAGAACAGTAGACCGTGTAGTCTGAGAGAACAGTAGACCCTGTAGTAGAACAGTAGACCCTGTAGTAAACAGTAGACCCTGTAGTAGAACAGTAGACCCTGTAGTAGAACAGTAGACCCTGTAGTAGAACAGTAGACCCTGTAGTAGAGAACAGTAGACACTGTAGTAGAACAGTAGACCCTGTAGTAGAACAGACTAGAGCCCTGTAGTAGAACAGTAGACCCTGTAGTAGAACAGTAGACCCTGTAGTAGAACAGTAGACCCTGTAGTAGAACAGTAGATCCTGTAGTAGAACAAGTAGACCTGTAGTAGAAACAGTAGACCCTGTAGTAGAAGAACAGTAGACCCTGTAGTAGAACAGTAGATCCTGTAGTAGAACAGAACAGAGCCCTGTAGTAGAACAGTAGACCCTGTAGTAGAACAGTATTTAACAGACCCTGTAGTCAGAACAGTAGACCCTGTAGTTAGAACAGTACGAGTATGACCCTGTAGTAGAACAGTAGACCCTGTAGTAGAACAGTAGACCCTGTGGACAGTAGACCCGAGTAAACAGTAGACCCTGTAGTAGAACAGTAGACCCTGTAGTAGAACAGTAAGTAGACCCTGTAGTAGAACAGTAGACCCTGTAGTAGAACAGTAGACCCTGTAGTAGAACAGTAGACCCTGTAGTAGAACAGTAGACCCTGTAGTAGAACAGTAGACCCTGTAGTAGAACAGTAGATCCTGTAGTAGAACAGTAAGACCCTGTAGTAGAACAAACAGTAGACCCTGTAGTAGAACAGTAGACCCTGTAGTAGAACAGTAGCCCTGTAGTAAGAACAGTAGACCCTGTAGTAGAAACCAGTAGACCCTGTAGTAGAACAGTAGAGACCCTGTAGTAGAACAGTAGACCTGTAGTAGAACAGTAGACCTGTAGTAGTAGAACAGTAGACCCTGTAGTAGAAACAGTAGACCCTGTAGTAGAACAGTAGACCCTGTAGTAGAACAGTAGACCCTGTAGTAGAAACAGTAGACCCTGTAGTAGAACACGTAGACCTGTAGTAGAACAGTAGACCTGTAGTAGAACAGTAGACCCTGTAGTAGAACAGTAACCCTGTAGTAGAACAGTAGACCTGTAGTAGAACAGTAGACCCTTAGTAGAACAGAAGTAGACCCTGTATTAGAACAGTAGACCTGTAGTAGAAACAGTAGACCCGTAGTAGAACAGTAGACAACCTGTAGTAGAAACAGTAGACCCTGTAGTAGAACAGTAGACCTGTAGTAGAACAGTAGACCCTGTAGTAGAACAGGTAGACCCTGTAGTAGAACAGAGACCAGTAGACACCTGTAGTAGAACAGGTAAGACCCTGTAGTAGAACAGTAGAACCCTGTAGTAGAAACAGAACAGTAAGATCCTGTATAGAACAGTAGACCTGTATAGAACAGTAGACCCTGTAGTAGAACAGTAGACCCTGTAGTAGAACAGTAGATCCTGTAGTAGAACAGTAGACCCTGTAGTAGAACAGAACAGTAGATCCTAGTACGAACAGTAGACCCTGTAGTAGAACAGTAGACCCTGTAGTAGAACAGTAGACCTGTAGTAGAACGACAGTAGATCCCTGTAGTAGAACAGTAGACCCTGTAGTAGAACAGTAGACCCTGTAGTAGAACAGTAGATCCTGTAGTAGAACAGTAGACCCTGTAGTAGAACAGAACAGTAGACCCTGTAGTAGAACAGTAGACCCTGTAGTAGAACAGTAGATCCTGTAGTAGAACAGTAGACCCTGTAGTAGAACAGAACAGTAGACCCTGTAGTAGAACAGTAGACCCTGTAGTAGAACAGTAGGCCCTGTAGTAGAACAGTAGATCCTGTAGTAGAACAGTAGACCCTGTAGTAGAACAGTAGATCCTGTAGTAGAACAGTAGATCCTGTAGTAGAACAGTAGACCCTGTAGTAGAACAGTAGACCCTGTAGTAGAACAGTAGACCCTGTAGTAGAACAGTAGATCCTGTAGTAGAACAGTAGACCTGTAGTAGAACAGTAGACCCTGTAGTAGAACAGTAGACCCTGTAGTAGAACAGTAGATCCTGTAGTAGAACAGTAGATCCTGTAGTAGAACAGTAGACCCTGTAGTAGAACAGAACAGTAGACCCTGTAGTAGAACAGTAGACCCTGTAGTAGAACAGTAGACCCTGTAGTAGAACAGTAGATCCTGTAGTAGAACAGTAGACCCTGTAGTAGAACAGTAGACCCTGTAGTAGAACAGTAGATCCTGTAGTAGAACAGAACAGTAGATCCTGTAGTAGAACAGTAGACCCTGTAGTAGAACAGTAGACCCTGTAGTAGAACAGTAGACCCTGTAGTAGAACAGAACAGTAGACCCTGTAGTAGA